ACTGAGAGCAGATTGCTACCCAAGCAGTCAGCGCAGGGACATGCTGACCTTGGAGATGTCACGTGAGTCACACTGGGGAGTGGGGTCCTTGAGCTTTTTCTACTCTAATAAATAAAACAGCATGGGAGTGACCTAAGGCCCTTGTGACACAATGAAAAATCCCTGTGTTGCGGAATTTTTACCTCCATGAATTAAAATAATGTGAAAGAGTCTGTGTGTGTAATGGGGATTTTCAGTTTTGCCTGATTAGAGATACTTAATAGGAATAGACCGGAGTAAAGAAGAAAGATTTCTGAAAGAGTGGTTCGGCTACATTACAGAATCACAGAATCACAGAATGGTAGGGGTTGGAAGGGACCTCTGTGGGTCATCTAGTCCAACCCCCCTGCCAAAGCAGGGTCACCTACAGCAAGCTGCACAGGAACTTGTCCAGGCGGGTCTTGAATATCTCCAGAGAAGGAGACTCTGCAGCCTCTCGGCAGCCTGTTCCAGTGCTCCGTCACCCTCAGAGGGAAGAAGTTCTTCCTCATGTTCAGATGGAACTTCCTGTGCCTCAGTTTGTGCCCATTGCCCCTTGTCCTGTCACCGGGCACCACTGAAAAGATTACATTAGTGTGGGGTTTAGATGCTTTTATTTTTGGGAAGTGTTTTGAAATGCATTTGGCCTAGTCACAGCAGACACACCACTCAGCAGGACAACGTTAAAATACCCCCATTAAAGTTCATGTAACTGGTACTCACTGGACTGGGCTGGCCCCAGTTTCGCACATACCCAGGCACCTGGGGCTTGGGTCTCCCGCCCTAGCATCACCTCCAGCCCAGGGCTCCCACCCGGGGTAGCCTGTGTGGGCACAGGCACAGCTGGGCCGAACGCGGGCTCCGGGCCTGCGCAGGTGACGACCGAAGTGAGGGACAGTGCTGCCCTCCTCCTAAACAGGGACAGAGGGGCCAGGCAGGGCTGTGTCTGCTGGTGGTAAGAGTTTAGAGCTTTCTTCTGCGCTCTTTCTCCACAGTAAATCCATGCTTGAAGAGGGGGTTGAACTCCTTTGAACCGTAGCGCTAACGGTACTGTTAATTAGATGCGCATTTCTCCCACAGCCCCTTTAATTTGCGACGACTTTCAACGCGTGTGAAGCGTGGTGGGAGCCTCGGGCCTCACCTGGCTGTGCAGTGCAGCTGAAGCTACCGCTGGCCTTCGCCCTGTCCGTCCCTGCCGCCGGGCCGCGGCGTTCCCCGGCCCGTCCTGCCTCAGGCTCCTCAGGCTGGTGGGCTGTCGGACCGACGGTCTCCATGTTAAGTAGTTCCCCTGCTCGCAGGCAGCGCGTGGCGTGACAGAGTCTGGTCAGGCGGCACCTTAGTACCAGCTGGGTTCCTCGCACACGCTCCCGTGGAGGCTGTGCCAGAAAGCTCCTTTTCCTCCTTACTGGAGGACCCCCCGCTAATTCCTGAGCCGGATTTATCCGTGACCACTTCATAGCCGCTTGTCCTTGTGCCAGCGTTGTCTTTTAGCCTGAGATCCTCACTGCTCTTCCCCGCTCCGACGCACTTCAGGAGGCGAGCGCGTCCCTGTCAGCCCTCACTTTACTCCATGTTGAATCATAGAACCATAAAACGGTTTGGGTTGGAAGGGACCTTAAAGATTACCTGGTTCCAACCCCCCTGCCATGAGCAGGGACATCTTCCACTAGACCAGGTTGCTCAAAGCCCCATCCAACCTGGCCT